AGTGGCAGTGGCTGCTGCTGCAGCAGCAGGGGCAGGAGCTTTCTGCTCAGAGGGAACGCGTTATTTATTTTTTAATTCTTTTGGCATTTGCTTCCGTCGTGGAGTCGAGTTAGGGTTAAGGGTTTAGGGTTTAGGGTTTAGGGTTTAGGGTTGGCGCGGGCTGAGCGGTGCGTACAGCTCGCGCGAAGTGCGCAGCAGCTCTTTGGCTAGCTGCAACTCATGGCTAGCTGGATAGCTCTGCTGTGGCTGTGGCTAGGTAGCTGGCTAGCTAGCTAGCTAGCTAGCCAGCTAGCTAGCTAACTAGCACGCTGTCCAGCTAGCTAGCTAGCTAGCCAGCGAAGCAGGTAGCTGCACCCGTGGCTAGCTAGCTACATTCCTACATCGACCGGCTAGCTAGCTAGCTAGCTAGCTAGCCAGGGAGCTGCACAGGTGGCTAGCTAGCTAGAAGACTAGACAAGGTTTTCTTGGTAGCGGGGTCCCAGTTAGCTACAGTAGCTAGCTGGCTGCCAGCTAGCTGCTGGCTAGCTGCTAGCTAGCTAGCTGCTAGCTAGCTGCCGGCTTGCTGCTGGCTAGGAGCTAGCTAGCTGCTGGCTAGCTGCTGGGTAGCTACCAGCTGGCTGCTAGCTAGCTAGCGGGCCCTGAGCTTTGGCTAGCCGGCCCTAGCTAGCTGGCTAGCTGGGCGGCTCGACAGCTAGCTAGCTGCAGCTAGCTGGCTAGCCCTTTCGCTAGCTAGCGACGGCTAGCCAGCTAGCTGCCGTAGCCCGCAGGGCAGCCCTAGGCTATCCACTCAGTAACCTAGCTGGCTAGCTAGCCAGTTAATTATTTGATTAGCGAGCTAGCTAGCCAGCTAATTAGTTTGTTGATTGGCCAGCTAGCTAGCCAGCTAGCTAGCTAATTAGTTAGTTGGCCAGCTAGCTAGCTAGCTAGCTAGCTACTTAGTTAGTTGGCTAGCTAACTAGCCAGCTAGCAAGCTAGCTAGCTAACTAGTCAGTCGGCTAGCCAGGTAGCTGCTTAGCCCTGGCAAGCCAACCAGCTAGCTAGCTGGCCAAAGCTAGCTAGCACTAGCTAGCTGGCCAGCTAGCTAGCTAGCTGTAGCGGCTAGCTGCCCAAAGTAGCAGCTAGCTAGAGGCTAGCGCTGCTGCAGCTGTTTTGTAGCTCTTTGTGGGGCTGCAGATTTGCTCCCACAGCTAGCTACAGAGTGAGCGAATGGTCTGCTGCTGCTGCTGCTGGCTTTGCTGCTGTTGCTGTTGGCTGTGTTGCTGTTGCTTCTGGCTTTGCTGCTGCAGATTGTGCTGCTGTTGCAGTTGCTTCTGGCGCTGTTGCAGGTGGCTTTCTGTTGCTGCTGGTGTTGCTGCGAGCTGTGCTGCTGCTGTCAGCCTTTTGCTGCTGCCGTTGGTTTTGCTGTTGCTGCTGCTGCTGCAGCTGCAGCAGCAGCAGCAGCAGCAGCTGCTGCTGCTGCTGCAGCTGCTG